ATATATATATATATATATATATATATATATATGAGATTTTTTGTATTAGAAATTCTCAAATCATGTCTTTTTGAAATTTCTTAGCTACATGAAAATGCATGTTTTCACAATGAACGATGATTTCATCTCATAATTTCATATTGCGATATAAAATCGCAAGTCCAAACAGAAATATTAATAGGAAACTTGGTCCACATGATGTAGATATGATTTGACATTTGCTAAAGTCTTAAATTTTTCTCATTATGAATATTTTTTTATGTCATTTAAATCTTACACTTGTTAATTTTATATTTAATTAAGAAGAAATTTCTTGAGCCAAAGAGCAGAACGTTTTGGATATCTGTTTAAATTATGATTGTAATCAACATAATTAAGACCAAATCTTTGAGTATATCCTGAACTCCATTCGAAATTATCCAAAAATGACCACGCAAAGTACCCCTTTACATCAACACCCTTCCTGTTAATGACAAATAAAATTAAACATTAAAACATGAATGCATTAATCTCTATATGAATATACATATTTCAAATATTAGTATTAGCATAAAAGAAAGGAAAAGATAAACTATAATTAGAGCTGTCAAAAAGAATCGTTTCAAACTCATCCAGCGCAAGTCTCGCGGGCCAATGAATTTGAAGAGCTAGCCGGGCCGGGCCTTCATTTGGTAGGGTCTTAAAATGTTCAACCTAGCTCAATTCTAGAAGGGCCGAGGGCTGAGCGGACTAGCGTATTTTGACGATTCTAATTACAATTAATTAAATTAAGAAGATAATTAATTACTTACTTAAGGGCTGCTTTAAGGGCCAACAAATGGCGACGTAAGAAATCCACTCTTTGCAAGTCATTCACTCCTTTCTCAACCATTGTAACATTTGCATCACTCATACCTTTTTATGACCAAAAAAAAAAAAAATTTCTACAAAAAAAAATAATTCTGTAATTAATTAATCATAGTTGTAGAAAAATATTTATTATCATACCATTTTCTGTTATGTAAATTTTTGGATTATTGTACTTTTCTTTTGTATAGACAAGAACTTCTAAAATTCCTCTTGGGACAACATGGAAAACTGCCGATCCTGTCTGTATCCAAAAAAAAAATTAAAAAATCACTTTATATTATTAAAAAGATTAATCGTTGAAGAAAAATAATTATAATAATTAAGATTAAGAGTATAAGAACATGCCGGTTCACCAATAAGCTTGCCATTTCTTTCCACTACAAAAGAAAAGAAAAACAAAAGATGAAGTGTTAATAGTTTTGTGACTAAAATATCATCACGTTCGGTTTTATTTTTTTAGAATTAAACGATATGAACTTTGATTAATATTTCAAGCTATATTTTCATCATATTAATATATATAAAGGATTGCAACTTATGAGTATTTTTCATATAGCTTTCAAAACATTTGTATTTTAAATAGAAGATGTTAGAATTATTTTAATTCGAGTTAGTTCCAAAAATTAGTGTGAAGTGAATTATCACTACGTTAGAAATTATCTTTAAGGGCTGTTAATTAATGAAAATAGTTTAATTACCGTTAAATATGTATTTTAGCGATAATTAGCATTCTTTATATATTGGATCTGATGACAATTAACTAGTATAAGTAAAGAGTTTACCCCTCTTTATTAATGTGTATATATTTATTATCGCTAAAAAATATTTTTATTGTAGTCTGTGATGTAAAAATGATTACATCCGTTAGTCTAATATACACTAATTCATTCCAAAAGAGTATATTTTTTTTATATCATATATCAATATACAATAAGAATATAAGATAACAATAGTTATCGACTATTTGTTTCAATTTCTAAAATAATAATAATAATAATAATCAATTAATTACCTGTTTGATTTACTTGAAAATCTGATAGGTAGCTAATATTTTCTTTATTTGGAGTAACATTAAGATTTGCTGCATACATTGTTGTATAGTAATTTAGTCCTATGAAATCAGAGGAACCCTTCACCATCTCAGCTTCTTCTATTGTGAATTTTGGTAAACGATTTCCCACGATTTTGCACATAATTTCTGGATAATTACCATATATTAATGGATGTATAAACCTGAAATGTAATTTATCGATGTCACGCTTCATTTTGAACTATTGAAATTCATAATTCGATTTATTTTTATCTATATGGAGATTGTACTTACCATCCGAGCGAGAAGTCGATGGCTCGTTGTGTTGCGTCTATATCTTTCATCCTCTTGGAATAGGGCTCGAACCAACTAGCCACTAGTACTATCCCAATCTCCCCTTTCTGCGATACCTATATATAAAAATTATATTTTGATCATATATAAAATAGTTTTTCAGATGGTAAAAAAATAGAATAATCTCCAATTATGATGATACATATATATATATATATATATTTCTTTTATGATAGAAATGACTAAATTAAGAATATTCATAATTCAATATTTAGGAAAGAACCAAACAACAATTAAATATATTCATTATTTTACTCTGCCTCAAAACAAAAGTTGTCTTTCTATATAAAGAAATAATTTAACTTTGAGCTTCTCATTTATCCTCATATAATGATTTATAGTCAAACTAGTTTCAGACCGTAATTCTAGAGGGTTTTTTTCGATTTTCCACCAAATATCCAGAGCATACTTTGGAGCTCCGACTAAATCTGAATCGCGCATTACAGATCCTATTCAGAGGTGAGTCTCTCATTCCGTATCTAGAGTTAGAACACGAAACACCTGGTTACGGGTGAAGCAGTTCTACTACGCACCACAACCTATATTGATTTTGGAGGTTTTTCTTGATTGTACGTACCGTCCAATCAAACAGTACTATATAAATTGAGACAGAGCGAATACCTGATATTTGTCTCTGTATAATTTGGCTGTTTGTGCATGAGCAAGCAGCAAATGATGGGCAACTATGTAAGGCTCAGTGGAAGAGTTACCAGCAAAACAAGCAGTGGTCCTCCAAGAAGAGCATCTCATAGGAGGAAAAATACCAATGTCATAACCAGTAATTGCATAGCCACTTGGTTCATTTATTGTGGTCCAAAGTTTAACTCTATCACCAAATTCTTTGAAACACAATTCTGCATAATCTTGAAAATCATAACTACAACAAAAATGTTTTCTATACATTAACAAAAACATGAGAAAAATTGCTCAAAAAAATTGTTTTACACTTACATAATTTGTGTGTTTAGAAAGCCAAGATACTCATCTTCAAGGACTTGGGGTAGATCCCAATGGAATAGGGTAACCATAGGTTGTATACCTGGATGAATTTTTAAATATAACATTACGTATTGTTATCCTCGATCGAAATAAGGAAAATAAAATATTAAAAGATAATTAACCTTTAGCTAGGAGCTCATTGATAAGATTATTATAGAAGGCAATGCCTTGTTTATTTACTCCTCTACAAAGCTTCCCATCTGAGATAACATAGTAAAACATAAGTATATAGCTTTTAAATAATATTAAATAAAATAGATAAGTATAAGAATATTACTGATATTATAAATGTCATGATTTTGTGTGTATAAAAATATTAATATCATAATTTATTATGTATAAAAATGATATTGAATAAAATTTATAAATAATATATTATATAAGAATAATATTAAATAAAATATTAACTATGTATACAAGATAACATGCAATTTTTTTATAAGATGTATTTTTCTTGTAACTTAGTTTATGTTTATCACTTAAATTACCCATAATGACCTTAGCTTCACAAAAGGCATAAAACGCGTTTCTTTACGCGATTTATAGTCTTTTTCATTTTGATTTTTGAGTTTTCGTAGAGGTGAAGGTGTGTCAACTTAATATAACACTATCAAAAAATTATAATTTCTTTCATTGAAATTTTTCAATGAAAAATGCTTAGCTGTTCGAATAGATATTTTGATTAAAATAGTGAATGGAAAAAAAATATTGTCATATGAATAAAGGGTAAATTAATTAAATTGATCATTTTATTAATAGTTTCTTAAGTATTGTGTAAAATAAAAAGTGATCAGTTATTATGAGATGGGAGAGTGATACATATAACCTTTTATCGTATCTAATACTATTAAAAAATTATTTTATATATAAATAGAATTCATATAATGTCCCCCCACCCCAACCCGACGTCGTTGAATCAAATATCTTTGACTTTACGATGTATTGTGTTAAATAAATATTATGTTTGAATGACTTCTATTGTTCTCTATTGTTACATAATGTCACACATTAATAATTTGAATGATAAATCGATATCAGTATAATAAAAGAGATATTTAATGATAATATACTTTTAAAGCAAGTACTATCTACTGTCGTAAATATATTTAGCAACAATTGAGTTAATGTCAGTGAATTTAGAGTTGCTAAATCCTTTAGCCATATTTATATAAAATGTTAGGTTGCATATGTCATATTTATTATTACTCCTAAATATATTATAACCGATAATTATATTATTGTCTTAAAATTCTTTGTTTGTTGCAATGCGTTCTTTGATAGTATTATTTATTTGTGGAGGAACTATAGCCCTCAATCATAATTAACCTTTGTGGCATAACATTACCTTTTGTGGAGCTGACCTCTAATTATGACAATTTACGAATTGAATAAAAGAAAAAAAATCAGATCTTTTAATTGTAAAATCGAAAATATCTTACATAAAAATATAAAACTAACAGAAGAGTAGTCTTACATGGTAAAACTCTTGACCAAGATATGGAAAATCTGAAACCATTCAATCCTTCAAATTTCATTAGCTTTATATCATCCTAATTAGGAACATTGAAGAAAAGTGTAGATGTGTAATAATTAGAAATTAAGAACCATAGGCCAATTAAATATTTCAATTTTTTTTTTACTTTTCATAATATATAGAAGTACTTGATATATACATTAAATTAAAATACCTTGTAACGATGGTAAAAATCAATCGCTACGTCACCATTACTATGGTCAGCTATCCTTTCTACAAAATTAAACATCACATAAATCGTAAAAATAAAAAATAAAAACATTTTCCATAAAAAATATTTTTGTTTACTAATCGCCATTACCAGGATGGTTGTGGGTAAAGGTATCCCAAATACTAGGACCTCTACCATCTTCATTAGCTGCTCCTTCATACTGTAAAGTGTAAATCAAAAATAAAATATTTGAAACCTCGTTTGATTCGATACAAAGTTTAAGAACGGGATACATAAATTTGTGATTTAAAATATGTTGTTGACATTTTATGCGATTATGTAATCAATATGCATAAAAGTAAAATTAAAACGTTTACGGTCAAATTCTTTTAGGATATATAGAAACATAAAATTCTTGGATAAATTAAAAAGAAAAGTGTGTTTGATAAATTAAAATTGAGGGAACAAGAATAATTATAGAAAAACCTGATAAGCAGCAGAGGAAGATCCAAAAATGAAATCTGATGGAAAACTGGTTTTATTAAATGGGACTGAGACATTATTATAATAATAATAATAATAATAATTAGGCACAGAAGAACTTATAATTGGTAAAAAAATCCCAATTAAGAGAAGTAAAGAGATCTGAATTAGTAATCCCATGGCTTAATTAGAGTATTCTTTAAGAATTCCATATTAAGTCCATTATATAGTAGATTGTACCTAAAAAATTCTAAATTTTTTTCGTTTTCTTTTAACAATTTTGACAACGTCAAATTATTATTATTATTTTTGTTTTAAAACAAGTTAAAAATGGACAGACTTGCCGTCTATTTGGATTAGAAAGGAATCTTCATAGTAAAATTTTAACTAATTTTCCTAAAAGATTTATAGCCAGTCTGATCCCTTCCCGTCCTCTTTATTATACACAGAGGCAAATTCAAGATTTGAAAAAATTCGATATATTAATATTAAAGCTAAAAATAAGTTTTTCCTTGGGCCTGAACTATGGTCGTGGATCTAATAACTTGTATCATTGGTACAAATTACAATTTTATAATTATTATGAGGTCACTATTAATTATATTTAGTTTTTGTCAATTTCTCAAGGTATATATAAATGATTTCTTTCGAAATTAACGGATGCACGTGTACCCCTACAATACTATGTGGGTCTTCCTCTGAGTAAGCAATTTTTTAATTCTTAATTATATATTTTTGCTTCGAGTCATGAAAATGAAATTAACTTTAATAGAAAAAAATGCAACAAGAAGAACCGAATATATGATTCCCCTTGACGATTTAGATCTTTTTTAGATATCATCTATTAAAAATGGAGCTTATGATTTACGATAATCCAAACTTTGAGCAATTGACTTTTTTAACCTTTGATGAATTATCGTAAATCAATCTAAAACCATATGAAACATTCAACCAAATTATTTCAAATTTCAAATTGAACTCCCCATTGATGTTTCAATTCTTTTGAGATATCACTAAATCGGAACAAATAATTAATTTAACACTTTGAATATTCATTTTCTTCAACATTACATGTTGTTGTAAATCGATCCAAAAACCCATAAAACCTCAACCAAATAGCTAGGCATTATATATTGTTACAACAACTTTATTTCTTCTCTTTTTATTACAAAGAGAACACCCCCTTAATTTATTCCATAATTAGTAGTTGCTACTTAACAAACAGATTAATACTGAATTTAAGGAGAATAAGCACACTTGATTAGATTCTACACGTACAAATAATTTTATTTGAGAAGGAATTTCTTCATCCAAAGAGCAGAACGCTTAGGATATCTCTTGAGGTTATTTTTGTAATCTACAAAATTGATACCAAATCTCTGTGTGTATCCTGATCCCCATTCAAAATTGTCATAAAATGACCATGCAAAGAACCCCTTTACATGTACTCCCTCCCTGAAAATTAAATTAAAAAACAAATATTAATTTACTCAGATGTCAATCGACTCCACTTCGATAAGAATATCAAGCATTGGTATATAGGCCCAAATGAGGAGTAAAGTGTGCTCAAAGTCCAAAAGGTCTAATATTTTTCGAGTTCAAAAATTTTAACCATGTATCGATAAAAAAAAGTACTAACCTAAACGCCCTATAAAGAGCCTTAATATGGCGTTGGTAGAAATCAACCCTCTGAGCATCATTAATACCCTTTGCAACATCATCAATATTGGATTCACCCATTCCTAGTAACCAATTTCAATTTAATTAGCAAGTACTATAATTAAGTATTAATTCAAACACATTAATTAGTTTATTATTCAACAGTTTCACTTACCACATTCTGTAATGTAAACAATTGGATTCTTGTAAAATTTCTTAATATAAACAAGAAGCTTATAAAGTCCCTTTGGAGCAACATAAAATATGCTCACACCAGTCTGCATCCAAATATCAAAAATTACTAATACTATCATAATTTATAACAACCTTTTAGAAAAAAAGTAATTGAATGAAATGTATATACTTACTGGATCACCAATTAACTTTCCGTTCAGCGATGCTACAAAAAAAAACATAAATTAATTAAATAATGCATAGTAATTAGTTACACATATTAAATGATGTCACGTAAACTGAGACGATATACAACTTACTTGTTTGATTGACTAGATTATCAGTTCCTGAACTAATATTGACAGTATTTGGTGGTTTAGAAATATGAGCTGCAAAATTAGAGGTGTAATAATTCAATCCTATAAAATCACATGAGTCTTTCACCAACATTGATTCTTTTGGGGTAAACTTTGGTAATCTCTTGCCAACAAGTTTTCTCATACTTGTTGGATAATCTCCATAAGTCAATGGGTGCATAAACCTGTCAACATAACAATAATAATAATATATTTCACTTTTTCTTTTTTTAGTTTATATAAGAAAAATAATATACTTACTACTTTAAATTAATTTTTTTTTAAAATTACCATCCAAGCATAAAATCAAGGGCTCTTATAGATGCTTTTATATCTTCTGGTTTGTTGGAGGCAGGCTCAAACCAATGTGACACTACAATTGTTCCTATTTGACCCTTTTGAATTGGCTACACACCAAATAAAAACAAAGTCAGTAATAATAATAATACTTAAAATAAGTCGATTCAAACGGAGTACCTTATATTTTTGCCTGTATAGTTTGGAAGCAGCAGCATGAGCAAGAAGTATGTTGTGTCCAGCTATATAAGGCTCAGTGCCAGAGTTACCGATTGTGCAATTATTGTTCATCCAGGCTGAACACCGCCCAGGTGCTAAAGAACCAGAATCATAACCCGTTGATGTAAAAATCCATGGCTCATTCATTGTTGCCCACAACTTCACTCTATCTCCAAAATTTTTGAAACAAATCTCCACAAAATCTACGTAATCATCTCTGTAAGCACAGACGGATTCAGAATTTGAACATTTTATCTCTGTATTATTGGTTCAGAACATAGTAATTAATAGGGAAAAAGAATAAATATACCCCTGAACTATCGTAAATGGTATACAGATATATCCTCTTTCATATTTTACGGACATTGATTCCCCTGCCGTTAATACCTAGAGCATATATACCCTTTCTACTAATAGAAATACAATCTTATCCACCGATGGATAATATTGTGTCACGTGTCCATATTTAGTCTTCTGTTGGAGAGAATGACATATACGCTAAAATATGATAGAAGGTATCTGCATACCATTTACGATAGTTTAGAGGTATATTTATCATTTTTTCGTAAGTACTAATATATCAATATTTTTCTCACACACATATATTAAAAATACTGGATTCAGGTGAACGTGTGATACAATAATTATAGTTTGGAGTAGAGTACTTACACGACCTTAGGGCTTAGAAAGCCAAGATATTCATCTTCAAGGGCTTGAGGAAGATCCCAATGAAAAAGTGTCACGAGAGGTTTAATACCTAAAATTGCAATTTATAAACTTTAATTAATTTTTTATAATTCATTTTAATTTTGTAAATTAAGATATAGGGAGAAACAAGTAGAGTAGAAATTTATTTTTTTTACCAAGGGCTACAATCTCATTTATGAGACTGTTGTAGTAGTCAATACCAGCTTGATTTATTCCCTTTTTAACCGAACCCTCTGGATAATAATATTAAACACAAAAAAAAATTAAAAATTAATTAATCAAATTATAATTAACAAAAGAATAAATAATATGAATACTAAATTATCTTACTTGGTAAAATTCTCGTCCATGCAATAGATATCCTGAAAGCATCCAGTCCTTCAAATTTTGCTAGTTTCACGTCCTCCTACATTTGTTTAATTTTTTGAAGTTAGAAATTAAAATTAAAAAAAAAATCGTTTAATTTCTGTTTAACCAAATTAGTAATTAATTAGTAGTAGTAGTAGTATATACCTTGTAACGATGATAAAAGTCCAGAGCTATATCTCCATTGCTACGGTCCAATATTTTTTCTGCATATAATTCTCAATATTATCAGCTAGCGTTTAATTATAAATTTAATTAAGTTATAACTTGAAAAAAGAGTGAGAAACATTCTAAAAATTACTTAATTACTTGTAAGTGATGGATAAATTACTTAATTATATAATTTTAACATAACATAATTTCTGAAAATTTCTATAATTTGAATTAGTTAGAGAAATTCTTTTTTCCTTTTATCTCTTAATATTTGAATATCACCCCACTCTATAAAATATATTAGTACAATTTTGTTTGTATAATTTGTTTACTCTTTGATATATAATCTCAATTATTTAATACTCCGTATAAATTTAATTTGTAATTATATATCATTTTGTGAAATTAGGTGTTTGGCCTAACTCACACCCTAAAAGTTAGCTCAAAGGGATGAGGATTGTCCAAACCTTATAAAGAGTCTACCCATCTCATTAATCACCGATGTGGAACTTTTGTCATTCTTTAACACCCCACCTCACGCTCAGTGCTTAGCATATGGTGCGAGGGTAATTTTAATTTTGGGGACCTCAACATTGGGTGAGACAGGCCCTGCTCTGATACCATGTGAAATTAGGTCTTAGGCCAACTCACACCCTAAAAGCTAGCTCAAAGGGAGGAGGATTGTTCAAGCCTTATAAAGAGTCTACTCATCTCATTAATCATTGATGTGGGGCTTTTGTCATTCTTTAACACATTTGCAAAGTGTCGAGCAAATGACCATATATCCATAAGCTATGAGAAATCAAAATTATTATAAATTAAAAAAATAAAACATAATTAGCTTTTAATTTATTATAATTTCTGTACTTTATACGATTAATTAGTAGCTTAAATAGGATAATACATATATTGGATCCTAAATTTGACTTTAAATTTTAACTTTGACCTTCAATTTTCATAATGCACAAATAAGCACTTTAACTATCCAACTTTTAAATAAATAAACACATGAGTCTTATATGACACAATACACGTAAGACATCATATAGGATAAAAAATAACATGTAAAATAACATGTAAGACATGTGCATCTATTTATTTAACTTTATATAAGTTTAAACGTCTATCTGTTCACGTTCGAAATTAAAGGACATAAATATAACTCAAATTCAAGTTAAAAAGACATATTATCTATTATGCCGTTAAGTATACTGTTGCTTAAATATAGTGGGGCTGTAGTCAGAGGTCCCATATTTTCTACTAATAAATGAATATGTCCAAAGTATTAATTATCCTTTGTTGTATTGAGAGTAAGTGGGACCCAAGAGGGAACTAGATATGATTATTTTAACCAAACATTATTATTCCGTGTCAATCAATAATATTTTGAAAATTAAGAGATTCATCAATAATAATTCTATTATATTATATTAAGGTATTTAATAATATCTATTTACTTTATGAATAAATGAATAATTTTATATTTAGTTTTTAATTTATTTTTATTATTAATAATAGTCATTTTTTACTAGAATTTTTAAAATATTATAATTATTATATTTCATAGCAAAATTATTCTTATATATATAGTTTTTAAGAAATGTGCAAAGTAATAATAGATAAGTATTATTAAACAGATAGATAACACATTTTTCATAACATTAAATTTAATAAAGTCAAAGGATAATTTAGTAATATTATTTTTATTATTTTTTATTTTTAAAAAAATATATCAAGTTAATAGTAAATAATTTTTATTAGATAATAGATAATTAATGTTCGACTTCAGTAATTATTTTTCAGGATGGAATTATGAATTATTTAGACTAGAATTTTTTTTTAAAAGGTCCTTTTTTTCTTGAGAAGCGTGACAAATTGAATAAAATGAAAGTACTATGCCAATTGAAAATTGTTTTCGAAAATGGAAATTTTATTTTATTTTATAATAATACGTGAAAAGATAAAAAAAAAACGTCAGTTGTAAATAAAGAAAATGAAGAAAAGAAAACAAACCATCACAAATAAATGTGTTGCCAAATGTTATCACTGATTCACTATATATCAAGATTTTTTAAAAAATTAATTATATGTATTTTTGTGTAAATCTCATGATGAAAGATTTGATTGAAAAATAATGCAAAGTTAGAAACTGAAATTGTTCAAACACCTACCACATTTGTAGTTCAAGCTTTTTAAATAAATAATTTTTGATAAAAAGTTAAAACTATTTAATTAACGTTATAAATAAACAGTAATATACTTCGTCTGACTTAACACTAGGAAATATGAAGGAAAAAAAACGAAATTAATAAAAATTAACGTTGAACAAGTACATTGTTGAATAATTTTTAATAAAATCGATGTGAGTTATTAACTGGCCCCTAGATCTTTACTCAATTGTTGCTTGATTTCTAAGGTGATTGAGCTAAGTCAACTCTCTTATATAATTATATTTGATTTTGATACGACTATTAGAAAAATAACGATTAATTAGTGAGTTTATTAAATCAAAAGTGATAACTAAAAATAAAAATAAGATAAGTAATTAAAGAACGAGGAAGGAATTAAATGAAAGACAAAAGGTTTATTATAAGAATTGATTAAGGATCAAATGACGCAGTCTTTAAAAATGGGATGAAAATGCATTAAAATTTAAAATTTAGCATCTGTTTTAATAAAAAAATTTGAATTACATTTTGAAAATGTATTCTCAGATATTTGTTTGGTCATAAATGTGATTTTCAAGTTATCAAAAATCTGACTCAAATCGTTAACGACTTGTGGTAAGTATTTTTTTTATCATTAATAAAATGTTTTGGATTTGAGTCTCATTGAATACAAAATCATTATTTTTAGAAAGCATTTTATCGGTTAATGTGATACTTCAGATGAGGGTCTGAATTAAATCAGACTTCAATAAAATTATCAGACACCCCAAATTTCGACTTAACAATTTATAGACGAAAAGAGAGTTTAAATAATGTAATCAATGTAAATAATTGTTATACCATCAGATTATTTTCCCATAATGTAACGAATAACATATTAATTTTTTAAAGTTTCCAAATCTCACATTTTAAAAAAGATTTACCTAAATATTTGTTTGGATAATCTAATGATATTTCTTTAAAAATTATTTAATATCAATTATGTATAGAATTTAAACACTAAAATTTATGTGTGTGTGAGAGAGAGGGTATATAAGAGTTAGAGACCAGGATGAGTGTGAACGAAAGTATCCACAATACTTGGTCCTTTGCCATCTTCATTCCATGCACCTTCATACTGTAAATTAACCCCAAAAAAAAATATTCTTTTTTATTAAATATGAGTGAACATATTAAAAAGCAAAAGCAACCAAAAATTACACCAAAGTTAAAAAGTTAATTTTCTTTTTTATTGATGTTCGATATTCGTATTAGAATTTTAAATGCATACTACAATTGTATTAATTTGAAGGAAAACGTTCTATATCAATTATTTATCATGTCCAAAGCTTTAACATGATGGTAAAAAGGGTAAATTTATTACTTAGTTACTTAGGTGGAAAACATTATTCCCTATCTCCCTCCATCTTGTACATATTACCTCAAATATATACTTGTCAATGTACAAAATCGAAACACAGTTATTAAATTTTACCCATTTTATTCTTAAACTTAATTCTTTTCAAAAATATAAATATCCTAATGTTCCCAAAAGAAGAAACCCCCCATTACTAGTTTTATTTATTATTTCTTCGAAAAAACGTATAAATAACATTGATAGTAGACAAATAATATGAAATGGATCGGAGCGGAAGGAGAAAATTACCTGATAGGAAGAAGTGGAAGCTCCAAAAAGAAAATCAGGTGAAAATATGGTACGATTAAATGGATTAGATATAGTATGGCTTGGCACTTTTGCATTTGCAGCCTTAGAAAACTCAATCATAGACAAAAAATTGGCCAAAAATATCAAAAGGCTAATTGCCCAAAATGAACCTTGAAAAGCCATAGCCAATTATTATTATCTATATCTTTTCCCTTTCTTTGTAACCCTCTATATATAGTGTTCAATTTAATAATTTGAAGGCCAATAATAGACTAAGGGGCCGTCGGGTTGGACGGGGGTAAAATCGGTAACAATATTGTGAGGATCAAAATATTTTATGAGATTATTTTATTTTATCTTTCACAACAGATAATTTATCTCGTTATTTATATTAAAATGGTGGGATAAAATTATTTTGGAAAAATAATATTCTCCTTTTGTTCAATAAAATTAAAGTTGTTAATTATTGACTTGACACACGGATTAAGTAGCAGTAAATTATAGGATAATTTTATTAAACACAACTCATCTAAACATTGAAAAATGAACAGTAGTTAATAGCAAGAGTAAAATAGACACAAAATAATAAATTATTCATTTAATTTTATAAACTAAAGAAATATTAATGAACATTCCAAAGTATAATAGGCAAGTAAAGATGAACAGAGAGAATACTACCGATTACCAAACGCAAATAAAAATAAGATCAAAAAACATCATAAAAATTATTATTCTCATTTCACCCGTCAAAAATCATTCGTACCATAATATTTCTTTGTTTTTCTGTTTCTCTAATTTATTTATTTTCAATTTTGCAATCAATATGGACCAACTTTGGTGTGTTTTGGGTTTGGGGGTGGGGGAGTGGGAGGGGGGGGGTTATTTATTTAGAAATATTTTATGGCTGTAATTTAGCTGTATTTGTCCATCATTCAAGCATTAACCTACGTGTCCCAAATGAATAAATTTCATGGTCATTTAATTTATATAATTATTTCATAAAATTTAGTTTTTATTTGTTTTCTCCTTTGTTACCATATAAAACAAAATCTATTCAACTTTAAAATATAGAACACGAAATTACTTTTTTTATTTTTTTTCCATCACATAAAACGTTTTTTTCATCTCAAATAGAAGTCATGAAGCTTTGGCTTAGGACCAAAAAAATAATGTTCATTTAACTTTTCACATTACAGTATTCACACTACTTAATTATTGCGTAGTCGTCACTTTTTTTAAATAAACTTACAAGTATACATTTAATTTTGCAAAAATAAACAAAAATTTGCCGAACAATGATGAAATCACCTCAACTGTTTAGCAAATATACTAGATAAACTTATTAGTTATTTTTCTATTCGTTTTATCTGTTATATTTAAATTTTATATTAAAAAATAATTAACATGACTATTTTATTAGTATTTTTAAAAAATGTTATAGTAAAAGTGAATCTAACCAGGATCTGAAATGGTCCAATTTATAATATTTTATATATATATATATATATACGAGTATGACAACTTGGTGACTTGTGAGTTTTTCACCCACACATAAAAATAAATACACCCACTTCAATTTTACAATTCAATTGTCACAATCATCATTTTAATTATAATTAATAATACAAGCTAGTACAATCTCATAAAGTCCAAACTCAATCAAGATTTCATCTTCACAGTTTCACCAAGGTCATTATTATTGGGGAAAATGATTTTATATATTTTTTAATTTTTTTATTTATAGTTTATATATTCTTCGTTACGAAGATAACTTATATTTGCATCTTATATAGATAATATACATTTACTCTATATCATTAATAGAAGTGGAATTTTTTTACTTATTTTTAGAATGTATGTTTAAAATTTTCATAGATGCCGTATTATTTTTTTGCAAATAATAAAACTAAATTACAATATAGCCATAAAAAAAATAAGTCTTTTAATTATTTTTTTCTTTACAATGATAATCAGAAAAGTTGAAAAATAATTTATGTATAAAAGAATTAAAATACACCTTAAGTTTTGCTAAAAGAATCATGTACACCCCTACATGAATTTATTTTAAATTTTAAAGTTAAAATAAATTTAAAACTAATTTTGTTACTTCCGTTAGATAAAGAGCAATGTGAACTCCTTTTGTAAGGATAACATATATGTCAGCCATTTATATAACAGTAACGACATATATGAAATATTTTTATAACGAAAATTTTATCTTATTCTAAATGATAAAATTGAGAAGTATATATATCAGATCATTTTTCCATTTATTGAATGGAAAAAAATAGCAAGCTAGAACAAAAATGTGTAATTGATGTCATGATTTGCTAACCAGACAAGTCTAAACTTTGTTCAAGTGGTTAAAACTTTATTCATCTTCTTGTCTTGTGTAACATATTTTTCAAAAATAAGTACTAAAAAAGAGTTTAATCACAAGTGGTTGGAATATATCAAATTTGTTAATTATATTTTAAACAAAAAAAGATATGAATTTAATGTTAAAATATCTCACCGTATGAGATCAGAATCTTTCAAGTTTGAACTAATTGCCAACTATTAATTTGGATTTGCTGTATGAAACGTCTCTTTAAAATATCATCAAGTGTTTGAAAGTTTCAAAATTATCAAATATTTGAAAATCTTTGAATCCATCAAATTGTGTTAAAGTCAGATTAAATTTAAATTCATATCAAAAAAATCTCCACATTATAGTGTTAATCGTAAAATATTTCATAATAAAGAAATTTCGTATAAAATTTGAACCCAAAACTTCTGATTAAAAAGAAAAAATATGAGTAATTCTATGATAAAATATTTTAATTGATTTATTTTGATTCTACATTATGCCATAATCACAATACTTAGCATCAAATTTAATCACAGTTTGTCTTTTCTTTTAACATACACAAGTCTGCACGATGTATATATTAATCTGACATAATCAAGTTTAATCATATTAAATTACGTGGCATGATCTGTGCTCACGTTGTTATGACAATATTAGTCAAATACAATTGTATTAATCATACGGATATGATAATTTGCAATTATTGTTAATCACTAAGATTAAAATTAATTCAGAGAAGTTACTCGAGATTTTTTAAAACAAAATTCAAATGCTGATAAATTCTTTTTTTTCAAAACTGGCCCTTTTCTGGTCTTAAATTATTGGATGGTATTGTTTTATTATGTAAATATCTTATCAAATCTTTTATTTTGTTTGTGTCGGAACTCTTTAGAGTTATTTTAAATAATGTTGGGTTTTGAATCTTTAAAAATAAAGTTTGATGTGAATAAAAAATCGAGAAAAATTTGATTTTTTTAGAAAACAAATTTTAAGTTTTTGTGTAATTTGTTATTGACTTTGAGTTTTGATGAAATTATTAAAGTGTGAGGTATCAATAACAGATATTTATTTTATCTTGAGAGAAGTAATTCATAACCAAGAAAGAATTAAAATTTTAAGGATACATAATTAATTTTTGTGGTTGGAATTTTTGTTTTCCTTAAAACAGTTTCTAATTTCTATATTTTTTCCCAGTTACTAAAACTTTTCTAATTTAATTAAAAAAAAGCGAAAACATCAAACAAAAATCTTAATTTTTTTTTGGTATATATGAGATGTCATGTTTCTAACACTACTTTTAATTATTAATGTGAGATACAGTGAAATTTTTTCCATTCCGTCGCTCTTTTAGAATTTAATTATACTAGATACGCGTCAGCGTATGCCTAACGTATATTAGTTTTTTTTTTAATTTATGACATAAATGAAATTTGAAAAAGTGAACTAAATTTTTATATGTATTTTTAAAAAAAATATATTTTAAATTGTTAATTTATATAACTTTTGTATCATTTTCGAATAATATATATTACTACATATGTTTTATTTTATGTAATTTTAAAAAAGTCAACGTAATTTCTTATCTCGCATATTTTTAGTTGTCATTTTACTGTGATTCATATTTCATAGTACTTTTTTAGTTCTTATTTTCAAACAATATATGCAACTTTTTTTTTCCGATTAAAATAAGGGAATCAACCAAATTTCATTATGTTTTTTAACTATGTTTTTCTAAAGTATCTTAAATTGTTACATTGCGTTTTTAAGATTCTTCTTTATGTATTTTTTAAACATGTAACAAATTAGAAACTAAAACGAAAAATTAAAGTTTTCAAATCATTATATTTTTATATTTAAAATGTTTAAATCTATAAAACTCCTCATATATGCACAAATTAATAGAAGGAAGACAATCAATTTTTTTTAAAAGAAAATATATGAAAGCTCATTTAATTATAACACACACTCACTCATGTATGCAGGCACGCACGCGCACACACATTTTTTATTTATATGGACTTATTTTTTATTTTATTTTGAAAAGGAAACAACTTCTGAATTTTATTATTTTTTTATATAGTATATTTAAGATAAAAAAAATTAAAAATATTTCAACACACAAAAATTAAACATACATATAAATTTTAGTTTTAATTTTGACTGGTTCCACCTAATATTATACTTAATATGTAATTATTAAAAGTCAAGCGTAATCATTATTTACTTACTTCCATATAATAAATAGATATCACAATAATTCATAAAAATGAAGAAATAACAAAATATGAGGTAATACTATTCATTGTTATTTGTAAAGTTACTTTTTAACATTTTTTTCTTTAATTTCAATCTAACATATATATTAATTTTATCACACTTATTTATTTTCAAGTATATTAATCAGAGTCAAATATAGATGGAAATAATTAATTCATGATAAGTTTTTATATAAAAAGTAGACATTTTTTTATAAGCATAATGAATAGAAAGAATATTAAGAATTAAATTAAAATAGTAGTAAAATAGATTAATAATAAAATAGATATCACAATAACTCACAAAAGAAAAGAAAGTGAAGTAATAATAAAAATAAGTTAATGATAATAACAATAACTTAAAATATTTCTAGAACTATTTAATTTTTTTATTATTAATCTTGATAGATTTTTGTTAGCGTGAAATTATATTTTTGGTCTTGATCATTATTCACTTCATATATGAAATATGTTTCTAGAATTATTTATTACCTTTTTAAATAAATTTTTATTAGCGTAAAATTATATTTTTACCCTTAATCGTCCTCACAGTTCATTCTTTTATATAATAAAATACTAGTGTTCTTAGGCCCTACTCAGTAC